CACGTCTGTTGCATCCACCCAGTTATTGAGCTGGGAACATTTCCTGTTAAATGACTAAACTTTAAGTATTTCTCACAGTTTACTGTATTTGTAGCAGCAGCTACTCTATTCCTTCTGCTCTGATGCTCTGACTGCTTAATCCTTATACATCTCTATTTATTTCTCTATGAAAGGACACGTTGCATCAAGGCACACAATTCTGTTATGTACCTTACTTGCTTTTACTCCGATAAATCACGTACTTTGTTTCACTGCATCCAATACCATCATATAAGAAAATATTCAGTTTCATTCTGAACATCACAATATGTGTAGTTTTATTGCAGTATAAGCTAATAGTTTTATGATATTTATAGTTAAAATGCCATGCAGCTCTTAAACACTTTTTTTTTTTTAGATTGTATTCATATTAAATTATGTTTCCTTTATAAATATTTGATCTGAAATGAAAAACCGGTTCTCATGAACAAAATGATATATCATAACTGTGGGTGCACTTAAAACGACACTATAGTCACCTGAACAACTTTAGCTTAATGAAGCAGTTTTGGGGTATAGAACATGCCCTTGCAGCCTCACTGCTCAATCATCTGCCATTTAGGAGTGAAATCCCTTTGTTTATTAACCCTAGTCACACCTCCCTGCATGTGACTTGCACAGCCTTCCATAAACACTTCCTGTAAAGAGAGCCCTATTTAGGCTTTCTTTATTGCAAGTTCTGTTTAATTAAGATGTTCTTATCCCCTGCTATGTTAATAGCTTGCTAGACCCTGCAAAAGCCTCCTGTATGTAATTTTATTAAAGACACGGAGGCTCATATTATGCATAACTCTTTCTTTATTTCCTCAGCAGCAAAGATAGAGGAATATAAATATATCAAAAATGAAAGAAAAAAAAACTGTATAGATACACAGGCAACCAATCACATAACAGAGGAAGTGACTATATAAGGCCTGTGTCTCCCACAATCCCCCTCTTTCTTTGCTGCTTCCTCAGACAGCTAAGTATTTGCTCTTGTCCTTAGTTTGTCTCTGATGTTGTATTTATTGTCTGTTTTGCATTATATTTATTGTTGCTTGCTTGGGTTGCCTTTACTGGGCAGCCTTCCGCTGGTGTGCTCGGGCTCTCCCCTGCATCTCCTGGGTTCCCCCCCCGGTTACCCTGTCCCCCTGCGCTCTCTCTTCCCCCCCCTTGCGGGTGCCGCGCAGGACCCGGCTGTATCTCATAGCCACGGCAGTCTCCTGAGCCGCGGCTGTGTTTTGTTTCTGCTTCCCCGATCGCGGGCTGCCCGCGCGGGTAGGGTGCGCGCGCCCCCTCCCCCGCCGGGGATCAGTCCGCGATCGTGATACCACACGTGCGGCGGCCATTTTGGGCAGTCCGTCGGCTGATCGGTCGCTCACTCTGCTGCTGCCGTGCGGTCTGTCTCCCCGGTCTGGGTCCCCTGAGTGCACCAGCGGGCAGGTTTTCTTCACAGTGTTCCTTGTGGGTTACTCAACCCTTCTCCATTTCGTTTTCCCTTAAAGCTGTATTCCAGTTTATTTATTTTCATCAGTTTGTGCAGATAGCTTGCTTTGATTATCTACTGTGCCCACTTAAAGGTATATTCCCCTATTATTGCCACCATGCAGGATAAGGAGGATGGGCCTATTGGCACCCCTGGTGACTTTAATATAGATAACCCTGAGGGTGCTATGGCCTCCCAGGAATTTCAGGCCCTGCTGGATGCCACTATGGCTTCGTCCTTACAAAAAGCTTTTGCTTCTGCAATGGGTGCTGTTTCTTCCTCCTTCTCTCAGTCACTGCATTCTATGCTTATGCCCTCACTGCCTACCCCCACCCTCCAGGGTGCGGGGTCCCCTTCCTCTGCTCAGACTGTGCCTGGTACCCGTAAGGCAAAGGCAAAATCTAAGCACGTTGATTCCCACTCCTCGATGCAGGTGTTACCTGCCATGACTGACACACTTGATGTGGTCACAGACAGCGCGCATCCCACGCGCAAAAGAGCCCCTGGCCGGGCTAAAAAGGCTAGATTGTGGAAAAGGGCTAGAGCCCTAGATGATGAGTTGGATACCGACCGGAGTGTGGAACGTGACTCTGATGCTATGGAGTATGACTCCTATGATGAGGGAGGGTCAGACGAGGAATTACCCTCCGCGGAGGTTGCCCCCTCTGGGTCCTCTGCCGTGGCCCTAGGCCAAGTTAAGATTCCCTCTGGGGACAGTAAGGCCATTTTTGACCCCCAGGGAAACCCACTGTTCGACCCTGACGACCTACGTCACCCACGGTCAGCAGAGTGGGTCCCCCCGGACCATATTGCACAATATGTGGCTAAACGCCTGCGTACTCCCCTCTCCAAGGAGGGTCGCAACAACTTGCGTGCCGAATGCCCTAGACCCTCTCTCCAGGGCTCGGCCTGTAAGACTCCGGATATTGACCCCCAAATCGCCCAATTCATGAATAAATCAGGCTGGAAGCCCAAGAAGGGTTTGGATTACTCCCTCAAGGGATGCCAAGATAAGATATTGGATACCCTGGGCCCTCTGTCTAAACTTTACGAGCTGCTAGATGCCGCTAGGGCTGGAGACTAGATTATGGATGTCGATGTGGCCATTGGGTGGGTCCAGAGGGCGATCTGCCTATTGGGGAACGCTAATACCGCCATGTCTTCGGAGAGGCGTAAGGCGATTCTCCTTAAGATCGATCCCAAATTGGCTGCCATGACGGTAGCGGAACCTGACCCCTCTGACGAGGGTTTACTGTTTGGAACCTCTTTCGTGAAGGACCTTGGTTCCTATGTTAAGACCTTTACGGCCATTGACAAGGCCCAGGCGAATATGAAGCGCATGTTCGCGCCCAAGGTTTTCGGAGGGGCCGGGCGTAGCAGGAACCGTCCACCCGGCCGGGGCTTCCGTGGCTCGTTCAGGGCCTCCAGAGGTTCCTTCTTTCCTTCCCGAGGATTTCAAGATGCGAGGTCGCCTCCCTTCTTCCCAGCCAGAGGGAGATCCTGGGGCTCCAGGTATCCCCGTGGTGCCGCTTCGGGCAGACGCCCTTATGGTGAGTACCCATTTTTCCCCTCTCGATCATGTAAGGGTGGCAGGGAGGCTAGCCTTATTCTACCAGGGGTGGACAGATATAACCTCAGATGCTTGGGTTTTGCAATGTGTAAAAGGTTATCACCTGGAGTTCGTTTCTATGCCTGTCCAGGTTCGCACCCCCAGAGAGTTGTCCCTCCCACAGGATCAGGACGACTTGATTTCCAAGGAAGTAGAGGAGATGCTCACGAAAGGTGCCATAGAAGAGATGCCGTTGGCCTCTCCGGGCTTCACGAGCAATCTTTTTCTGGTGCCAAAGAAAGGGGGCGGGGTTCGTCCCGTGATAAATCTTCGTCCCCTCAACGCATTTCTCCGTTACCAACATTTCCAGATGGAGGGTATACACTGCCTCAGAGACCTCCTTCGGCAATCGGATTGGTTGGCCAAGTTGGATCTGAAGGATGCATACTTTACAGTCCCCATAGCGTTGAGCTGCAGGGATTACCTCCACTTCACGTGGCACGGTCGACGCTGGCGCTTCACTTGCCTGCCGTTCGGCCTCTCGTCGGCCCCTTGGTGTTTCACCAAACTCATGAAGCCGGTAATGGCTTACCTTCGTACCCGTGGGGTGCGACTGATCGTCTACCTGGATGACATATTGATCATGTCCCAATCCAGGGAATCTCTGCTGTTACATTTGGGTTGGACAATCAACCTTCTCCAAAATTTGGGTTTTCTGATCAACTGGGACAAGTCGGTCATGATCCCTACCCAATCTATAGAATTCTTAGGTTTCCAGGTGGACTCCATCAGGCAATTCCTGTACTTGCCGGAGTCCAAGATGAAGGCCATTCAGAAGGAGCTCCGAAGGGCTCTTCGGGTGCCGGATATGTCCGTCAGGCAACTGGCAAGGATTATCGGCCTTCTGGCGGCTTTGATTCAGGCGATCTTTCCGGGCCCGCTACACTACCGTGCCCTCCAACGACTCAAGGGTTCACACCTACGTTCGGGTCGCTCTTACGAGTCCCGGATACGTCTGGACGACGAGTCCAGAGACGAGTTGGTATGGTGGTTGGCACACATGGAGGCCTGGAACGGACGGGCCATCTTCGGGTCGGTCCCGGATGTCGTGATAGAATCCGATGCCAGCTTACACGGCTGGGGTGCTCGTTGTGGAGACGTTTCCACCGGAGGCAGATGGTCCGACATGGAGAGGTCCCTACACATCAATTGTCTAGAACTGCTGGCAGGGGCCTTCGCGATACGCAGTCTGACCCCAGGCCGGGCAGACTGTTGCGTTCTCCTCAAGATGGACAATGTGTCGGCAGTCCGGTACATAAATCATCTTGGGGGTACCAAGTCCAGAATGTTGGCGCTATTGGCGAAGGACTTCTGGCAATTTTGTCTCCTCAACAACGTCTCGGTGCAGGCGGAACACATTCCGGGCCTGGACAATTCGGGTGCGGATTGGAATTCCAGGCACTTAAGAGACTCGGGAGATTGGCACTTGCACGTTTCGGTTTTCCGAGGTCTGGACAGTCTCTGGGGACGCTTCGAGTTGGACCTGTTCGCTTCACGTCTGAACACTCAACTCCCGGCGTTTTACAGCTGGAGGCCAGACCCGGCAGCAGTAGCGACGGACGCCTTTCTCCAAGACTGGCCTCCGGGACGCCTGTATGCCTTCCCACCGTTCAACATGATCGCTCGCACGATATCGAAGTTGATCCGGCACGATTGCTGCCTGGTACTGATCACACCTCTTTGGAGGTCCCGTCCTTGGTTCCCACGCTTGATGGAGTTGTCGATAGACTACCCCAGACTGATTCCGAGCTTCCAGGATCTTCTCCTGGACCTGGATGGGAACTCGCACGAGCTGGTGCTCCGACATCAGTTACCTCTGATAGCGTGGCTCCTTTCAGGGGTACCTGGGTTGTCCCGAACGTTTCGCGGGCGACTCTACAACTCCTCGATAACGCCTGGGCTCCAGGTACGCGATCGGCCTACCGCTCTTCATGGGGCTCATGGTCTAGTTGGTGCATGGAACGGGCAGTGGATCCCGTATCTGCCCCTCTCCATCTAATTCTGGAATACCTCACTTTTCTGTTTGATTCGGGCAAGGCATATCGAACTATCAACCTTTTTCGTTCCGCTATATCGGCTGGACATGTTGGTTTGGATGGTTCGCCCGTGGGCAGACACCCCTTCGTGTGTCGCCTGCTCAAGGGCATTCGCCACGCCCGTCCGCCCAAGGCTCGTTTCTCTGCCTTTTGGGACGTTAACATTATGCTTCAGTTTCTATCTTCCTGGTACCCGAACCAGGGACTGACTCTTAAGCAACTGTCTTCCAAGTTGGTTATGTTGCTTTGTTTGGTTTCATGTAAAAGGGTTTCTGATGTTAGGGCCCTCGATTGGGACGCCGTTACCTTCTCCCCTGAAGGTGTGACTTTTAACATTTCCAGACGGACTAAATCTGCATCAAGGTCTTTCGTATACCCTAGATTCCAAGGGTGTCCGGCACTCTGTCCAGTGGAGTGTTTAAAGGTCTATTTGGAGGTGACTCGACCTCTTCGCTCACTAGACCTACGACCTTTACTCATTTCTTTTCGTACTCCGCATCGACCTGTGGCGACACCGACCCTGGCACGTTGGGTGCGTTGGCTGTTGTCTATGGCTGGTATAGACACGTCTATCTTTACACCCCATTCGGTGAGGGGTGCTATGGCTTCCAAGGCTTCGACAGTCGGCTGTCGTCTGGAGGACATCATGCGTGCAGCGGATTGGTCTTGAGAGTCGACCTTCCGTGACTTCTACTTCAGACCTATTGAGCACATCGCATCTCAGGTGATAGCACAGCTTTGAACTTGCATAATATGAGCCTCCGTGTCTTTAATAAAATTCCCAGATTTTACTATTAGCATGACGTAAAGTCATGATTTTATTAAAGACACGGAGGCGAGTATTATTCCCTCCCGCCCTCCCGGTGTGGGGTATGGAGCGAGATGCGATTTGGCGTGTTCAGGTATGTTGAGTTTGATCTGCCTTGGATGTACTTCATGTGGTGTATTGCATATACTAATTAATTATGTCTATTATATTTTTCAGATTTCATTCCTTAACCTTATGACAGGTCACTAGTTTTGTATTGGTAAGTCTACAGTTTGGAGTTTGGTTATTACCATATTTCTCTCTCTTTTTTAGCTTGAAATTGTCGGTTTGTTCCAGTCCCCGGTTTTGGCCAAGCAGGATATCGTTCTTCTTACCTGGTCTTCGGTTTTCGCAAGAAAGAGGGGGATTGTGGGAGACACAGGCCTTATATAGTCACTTCCTCTGTTATGTGATTGGTTGCCTGTGTATCTATACAGTTTTTTTTTCTTTCATTTTTGATATATTTATATTCCTCTATCTTTGCTGCTGAGGAAATAAAGAAAGAGTTATGCATAATACTCGCCTCCGTGTCTTTAATAAAATCATGACTTTACGTCATGCTAATAGTAAAATCTGGGAATTAAAGTTCAATTTAGAAATTGAGATACAATTATTTAAGGTAAATTACATCTGTTTGAAAGTGAAACCAGTTTTTTTTTTTTTCATGCAGGCTCTGTCAATCATAGCCAGGGGAGGTGTGGCTAGGGCTGCATAAACAGAAACAAAGTGATTTAACTCCTAAATGGCAGTGAAATTGCAGGCAAATGATCTATACACTAAAACTGCTTTATTTAGCTAAAGTAATTTAGGTGACTATAGTGTTCCTTTAATATGAAAGACGTAAATTATGGTTGAACAGACGAAGAGCTCATATTCTCGTTTTGTTTTTTTAGTCAGAACTTGTACAGTTGCCTATGTCCTTAAGGGGTTAACTTTCAAAGAACCGCCGTTAACTTCCCATGCCAACTGAAAGAGCACCTGCCCCCTGGTACGTATTATTCACCACAGTTTGGTTCCATAAAATATGGTTGAACAGACATATAGTCAAATTTCAGGCTTTATTTTGATAATACTATTGCGTCCATCCTTAAGGGGTTAAATAGAGAAATTGTATTACAAAATAAAACAACAAAATTATAGTCACATTAGGAGAAAAAGGAAAGCTACAGTTGTAATCAAAATTATTCATCCCCCATTAAAAATCAGGTTTGCAGTCAACATTTACAGACTTTCAGCTGTTTGCAATGAACAAATCAAACATAAGCAATTGAAAAAGCTCAACACAACGAATGCTTCAAGTGGTTTGGCACAACAATTGCTACTTTCCAAACTTCTGGGACTACTCCCATTAACAATGAAATAAATCCATTAACGGTTTTACAAATACATCATTCAGTTCTTTTAATAACTTTGTGTGTGTCCCATCAACTTATTTCAAAATAAAAGAGGTTTCTAGCGCTTACAATGTGCAAATGTGAAAGGCAGCTGTTACTCCCAAACCAGAGTCTCTCTTGTCTGGTCGTTGATATGGAATAGAGAAGATGAAAAATTGTGAGAAGTGCCTTTGAGGGGTCCTCGAATTTCAACTGACATGTAGTGGGAAAAGAAAGAAGAAATATATGGTGCAGTATGTCAAGTTACCAAATTAAAAACAAAAGGAAATACACTTGCAGTGTAGGGAGCTATCTCTTAGCTCTAGATGTAGCACCTGGGCAGTACAATCCCCGCCTATGGATATAATGATTAAATATTTGTAAGAGCCCTCTAATGGCTCATTGCATATGGCCTAGAGTGGAATAAGGTGCAGACTTGCTTTTTTTTTTCTATGGGTAGATCAAATCCTCCCTTTTTTGAAAGCAAAAAGAAGGTTTTGATCAATCCAAAAGACTTGGGCGGTATATTCCCCAACAAGAAAACTGATGTATTACTGCACTTGAAAAAGCCTACCTATTAGGTTAAATGCATTGTGCTTTGTATACTTTTTCCTATATTTGCTTTTATATATGTGAGTAGTAAAAGTTTTATCTATATTAAACTCCTGGACCTTTCATATTTTCCTCACGATAATACATAATTTTCCTTGGTGGGGAATATACC